AACCCATTGGGTCCTCACACATTCTGACTTCTGTTACACGTACGTGGTTTAAAACGCCTAAAAAATCAACAAGCACTTATTGTATGTCTTTCTATGCTATACGACGTTCCTGACTTCTTTTCTTTCAAAAGTGCACCATGCTCTTCAACCATGCGTACAACACTGCTTGCTTTCCACAATCCTGGAAAAGGCCATAGCCTACTTAATTGCCAATTTTGGCAAACTCAAAAGCTAACTCAGCTATCAGCCCATATCCAGCAACCTGGCTCCTTTTCCGCGAAAAATAGAATTCTTCCACCCAGTTTGGGTTTAGATGCCAAACATCCACAGCACACGTACTGCATTATCTTTAAAACAAGATTTGTGCCGGCTTCTTCAACAAGTAGCTTACCGTGTCAGTAGGATTTAATATTGAGAAAGCTTACGGTTTGAAGGATGATTAGTCTACAAATTCCGTTCTCAATACTCTGTTATTTACGGCTGCTTATTTGATAGAACCTTTCAAGTTCGAATGAGTTCTACCCCATTTGGACCAGATCGATCTTGAGATCTAATAGAAAAGTTTATTTGCTCAATTTTGTTTAGCAATACACAAATATTTTTGTTTGATTGTCAGTGTGGCTGTTGTAGGTGGGATACCAATATCTGTGCAGTCAATATTAGTGCGCAGAGTTCTTGTCTTAGTTACTTTGTCTGCCTTCCAATTGTCACCGTGATCAGTTACCCATGTGACCTAAAGACTAACTATCTTGTTTAGAGAAGCTTAGCATTCAGTGTGACTGTACAAGAAGATTTCGGTAATTACTTTAGGAGTCTTGATACATAGGATCCATTTTGGTACGTAGTGTGTCTCCATTATGTTACTTTTACCTGAAACACACTGCAATGACCCAGTTTATGGAAAAATGCTGTCAGTGTAAGTGTCCATCTTTGTTAACAGATAACAGAAAGCATGTTTATGAAAACAATTTGTTGACATCTTAACACATAATAGTCTAATCAGCCAAATCGACCAAGAACGCAGTCAAAACATTTTGTTCTTCATAGTTTACTTTCTCAGAATATCCTGTCCGTAACTGGTTATGGTTGTAAGGAAATTTTCACAGCCCTTTGTGTGTTTATAAGTTCTTTTTTTTTTATTATTATTAATTATTCAATTGCGGTTTGCTTATCTATAATATTATAGTATAATGATTAATATTTAATTTAATTAGTTAAATCAGACGGTAAGGTTCTCTTAAGCCGTCAAACGAGATCTTCTGTTTGCAGGAGTGATGAAGCTTAGGTGTTGCAGTGAACTTCAAGTATTTATAAGTGATTGTTCAAGTGTTTTTTTTTTTGCCTAATGCTAATCTAAATAAATGTATTAAAATATAAATTTTAAAACTTTTTCTGTGCTTTATGTATAAAATGTAAAGTAATCCTATTATAGAAGAATTTACAGCAGTAAATGGTTGCAAAAATTAACACAAACCTACCTACCTAACCAAACTAAATCTGTGCAATTTTTATTAATTTTTTTTTTAATTTTGCAAACTTTTTTGCTTTTGTTTTGTTTGAAGCTTTTTGAATCATTTCAATTAAGAATAAAAATTCTTTTATTTTAAAATTTTTTAGGTCAAAGTGAACATAGCAGGTTTTGCGCAAATACCGACGAAGCTGACCTATATTTCTCGCTGTGTACGAGTTTGTTTGTGTGTTCGCATTGTTACATGCTTTATTACTGATAGCTATTTTAAGATTTTAAATCCTCGTTCGTGTCGTATACGTAACATTGAATGCGTGTCGGTGTTGACAGTACATAATAAAATTTCTACAATTCATTCGCCTTAAATTTTGCAATATTTTTAAATTCTGTTTAGTAAAATGTTTAAGTAAAATATTTTTAAATTTTAATTTTAATTATTAGCTTTTTGCTTTTGTTTATTAATAATGGAAATTTTTGTGAATTCCTGCTGCAAACAAATTGTTTCATTATCGCTTAACTGTTTGCTTTTGACGTTTCAACAAATTAACTTAGGAAAAAAAAGCGAAGAAAATTTCAACTTAAATAAACAAAATTCTAAAAATATCAAAGAAAAAATTAATACTAATAATATGTGAATAATATTAAAATAAAAACAAAAACAAAACGAAATAAACAATTAAACAATTTTCAGTCGTTGAATTTTGAAAATGTAATAACAATGTATAAACATTTATAGAATAATTTTTTTTTTCATACATTTTGTATGTGTTTGTGTGTGTTGAAGAGTTCTCATATTCAACACTAAACATATAAACTGACTCTAGCGCACACACACACACATGTGAATTTATGACTAAATATATACGAAATACAATACATAGTTGGAAAATAAACAATATGATGAGGCGTAGCAAAAAGTGTCATAAAGTCATTTCAATTGACGCACAAAAAATTCAATTTCAAGCGGCTCAATATTCTCTGGTATGATTTGTTGTTGTTTGGCTGCGGTTGGGGGGCAATTGGCGCAGATGGGAACGAAGTAAAAGCGATTAGATTAGAAGTGTTATTGTTTGCATATGATTTTTTTTATTTTTATTTTTATTTTTCATAGTTCATTTGTTCACATTTGTACACATATGTACTTTGGTATGTAAATTATGACAGATTTGGTTGGAATTAATAAAATTTGTATTTTGTTTTTTCTGAATTATAATACGGAATTAAATGTACTTTGTTATGTGTATTTCTTTTTTAATATACTCATATTAATATGTATATTATGTGCACTCTTCTCATACTCAAATTTGTATTTATTATAATAAATTTTTAAAGAATTTTTACTACATTCCTGAGTAACACAATTAAAAAATAATGACGTTTTAATTAGCTCTGTTTTAATGCCGTGAGCTCTATGGAATTAAGATCTAAAGTTAAGATCATGTTTAAACATGAAAAAATTTGTTATTAGAAAAATCGTTTTTAATGCCAATATTTAATATTAAAAAAATATTGATTGCAACAAAATGCGACTTTGTCACTAACATCTGGAGCGTCCAGCATGACCCCAAATGAAAATAACATATTAAGACGGTCTGAATCCAGATTTTCCATTTAAAACCGAGTTTGTGTCTAGAAATCGGTCAAGAAAATACATCAGAGTAAGTTTTTCGAAATAAATATATATTTAGTCTGAACCCAAATTTTCGATTCAAAAGCGAGTTTGTGTCTAGAAATCGGTCAAGAAAATATCATAGTAAATTTTTTGGAATAAAGATATATTTGATCTGAACCCAGATTTTAGACCCTAAATGAAAATAGCATATTAAGATGGTCTGAATCCAGATTTTCCATTTAAAACCGAGTCAAGAAGGTATCTATATAAGAATTTTGTGATAAAAATATTTTTGTTGTTAGATTATCCATGACTTCGAATGTGATATTTTTCGTTGATGTTCAATAAAAAAATATATATTGGTTTGCTCGTGTGGTCTTAAGCCATATTTTCATTTACAAAGCAAATTTATGTACAGAAATCGGTCAAGAAGGTTGATTGCAGTAGCAGGTCTGTAGCAGGTCTCGCAAGATATAAAAAGACAAAAACTAAATATATCCCATCAAGTTTAGATAATTTGACAAATCTTTCGTTCTTACCAATGAATAGTTTATATAAAGTATTTCCCTAAGAACCTATTTCTTCTGGAGACTAAACCCGGGCATCCACGGAAAAAATGCTTATTTGTTTGATACTAACATTTTTAAAGTTATACAAAGTTTATAGTATATAAGCTTATATAAAGGTACGTAGGCCATTTTATAGTTCATTTTATATAGTTTATTTCTATACAAAAGTAATGTTGACGTTTCAAAGTTTTTATAACTTCTTTATCAGAGTGGTGTATAACAACTGATTTCGCATATATAGAATTGATACTCTTTATAATAGAATGAAGAATTAAGTTTTTCTTTTATTTATTCTTTAGAAACATGATTAATGAATTTATTCAATTGAGAAAGCTATTTACAATTATTTTCAAGTTTTTCAGTTTCATTCATTAAAGTTTAAGCAACTGAAGAGAAATATGCCTGAATAAACACTTATCTAACTGTAAAATGAAAAATAATAAGTAACTAAAATAAAAAAAATGCTTTTATTTTTTCGGATCGGTTTCGGTTTGTCATTCTGATTTAGTTCATGTTCGAAGCCCTACTTTCAATCTAGTACAACAATTAGCTTAGATTATTAATGCAGACCATTAGGTAAAAAAATCGTAAAAAAAGACCCGGTACATAAAAGAGACTAATCTAGAATCAAACAACTAATACAAAATACTCCTTTTAATCTTCTTAAAATGGGGCTGAATTTTTCTTTTTAAGAATTTATTATAATAAATTTGCCCGTGCAAGTCGTGGAGTAACATTAGCATGATTGTCTCAGTATCATGTTCCTAAATTAGGATCTATACATAAGAAAGAATATATAAATCATGCAACAAATAATGCCTCTACAAACAGAATAGTATTGAAATTTAACAATTAATAATAAAAAAATATAATTAATTAATTTAGTTGGTTAAGGTGCGCTGACTCTGAGCTTCAAATTTGGCAGGACACGCGTTCAATTTCTGGTACTTGCAGACTCACAAAATTATTTATGAATAATTAAATACAAGAATTATTTCCAAGACCACTGATGATGGGTATTTGGTAATCTTCAACACAGCTATATGGTCAGCCAAAAATTTAATTAATGAAAATAATATAAAATTTTTGTTGTTGTTGTTCACTACTGTTCGAAAAACCTCTTTATTATTTAATATAATTTAAAAATTAAAAAAAAATGACTTCTGTAAAAAAATCACTAGTCCATTTAATTCTACAAGTTTTCTTCCATTACCAAAAATATAAAGTCCTTTGTTACTTTATATCTATATATACGCATACATATGCACATATTTTACTAAAATTAATTTAGTTACGAAAATTTCTTGTGCTATAGTTTATTAATAAAAGTTAAATATCAAATAAAACTTACTTCCTCTTCCACTTCCTTTGCGTCTAGCCATTTTGTGTTTTTGTTTTTATTTTTTGTTTGTGCTATTAATGGTAATTTATTTTCTTTTTTTTTTGCTTTGTTGGTTTCTCTTGTCTGTAAGCAGGCAATTTGATAAGTCGAAAAATGCACAAACACAGGCAGACAAATTTGTTGAGCAACAAACAGCACTGCTTGCTTTTGTTGCTTTTTCTTCTCCTTCCTTCCTCCTTAGCTACTGCTTGTTTTACCCAAATTTGATGTCAGCCCAACAAATGGAAAATGTAGCACTCATACGTACGGAATGCTATTCAACTAGAAGACATTCATTTATACTTATTGTTGTTGTGTTCGCAGGCAGGCAGCAGTCAGGCAGGCAGGCAGGCAGCACAGCAAAGCACAGAAGACGAGTGTAAAATGTCCTTGAGGTGGGATGTTTGAATGCGTACACACGCTGCTTTCACTTTAGACGTCTATATATATGTATGTGACGTTTGTGTTTGAAGCGCGTGTTCAATTATTACTTCTTGTTGTTGATGTTGTTGTTTTTAAGTTGTGTGTTGTTGTTACGCTGTATTGTGTAGTTCAGTTATGTGTTGTACTTTTGCTGGTTGTAGAGTATATTTATTGATATTTGTTTTTGTCTATATGTGAAAAATAGACAAACAATATCGCTCTGTTACTACACATTTACACATATGAATGCGAAATAAATGCAACAACGCCCAATGCAACTACTTTGATAAAAAGCAACAACGTTGGTGTTGTTGCCGATGACGTATGCAAACAAATATTTTCAGTTAATTTCAAATGCATTGTTTTTTATTTTATATATCACTAATTTGCTTGATTATATTCCACTTATTTTTTTGATTTACAAATTAGCAACACTAAATTAAGTTAGTATTACACTACAATCCTTGATAAGTGTGGAAATCATATATTGTGTTTTATACTTATTTATGTATATTAAAAGTTAATAAATAGAGTAATTTGCCTTTGATAGTTATGTATGTATATAGTTTTTATACTTTTTAATTTTTCTGTAGTTGGATAGTTAGATATTTTTGTATGTTTATATATTTATAAAAAGCAATTTGATATGCCACGTTTCTGTTCACTTTGAGTTCTCAACTTTAAAAAGCCTTTCAATATTTTTTTTTTTTTCGTTTGTATTTTCTTTTGAATGATTAAGTCACTTTTGTGTGAAAAATGAAAAAAGTTGTGCTCATGCTTTATCCTTTGCAATGTGTATTATTTTGTACTGTACCCACACCGCTGTTGAGTGTTTGTGTGGGAATTACTCTTTTCCTCTCAGCCAAATTGGTTAGTTGGTACGCTGTTGAACGTTGTTTGTATACACTTGCCACTTTTTGTTGCCGTTGCCGTTGCCTTTATTGAGTTACCCTAAATAACGGTTATGAATGTTTGCGCGCGCACTCTTTCATTTGTGTTCTCATTTCAATTTTTTTTTTGTTTTGTTTTATTTTCTCAAATCTATTTTCATCCTTTTGTTGTTGTTATGTTGTAATGTTGTAATGTTGTTGCTGTTTTACTGTGTTGTGTTCAATATTTTCTTTTTTGAGCTTCTTTTGAAGAATACTTTTCCGTTTCCGACGAGTTGTTGTTGTTGTTATTTTACTGTTACTGTAATGTGTTTTTGGTCGAGACAAAGGTGAGAGGTGAGAGAGAGTGTAACAGGAAACTTCAAATTGTTTTTGTTTTGATTCAAATCTTATTGTTTTTTGTTTTTATGTTTGTTATTGTAGTTGTTGTTGTTGCGATTTGTGTTTTGTTTTTGTGGGAATTTAATTGGTTTTTTCTCTTACTTATTAATGCAACATTTCGTTAGAAGGAATCTCCTTTAGGCAAATGCGAGTACAACAATGTAAACTAAACGCTTCAACGTTACTATTATTGTTGTTGGGTGTCGTCGTTAATATTGACAAGAGGGCGCATTGTAAAAATACCGTTACGTTTGTTGTGAGTTATGACTGGCAGGGTAACTGTTCTTCTTGTTGTTTTTGTTGTCTTGTTGTTGTTTTAGTTGTACTTTTGACTGTTCAGCAAATAAAACGGCAAATTGAATGCGTAAATTGATAACAATTTTTTCATTGAATTTACAGAATTCAGTTCATGCTTGAGTTTGATTTTAATATTAAACAAATTTTTTATAAAAACAAAAAAATTTAGTTCATCAATTAATTAATGACGTTAAAACAATTTTACTTTCCTTTTGTAGATTAAATTTTTTTTAATATTTATTTATTAAATATTAATTAAATATTTTTTTATGATTTGAATTTGTTATATTATTTTCCTTTTGTAGATTAATTATTTTTAAATATGTATTTATTTAATATTAATTAAATATTTTTTTATTTATTGAATTTATTATATTTAATTTAGTTTATTTATTATATTTAATTGATTAATATGTATATTCATTTAAAATATTTAAGAAAAAATTTTTAAATAAAAATAATTTTTATATGAAATTAAACTTTTAATTGATTTAATTTAAAAAACTTTGTTTATTTCGCAACTGTTTATTTGGGGCGCACATTATAAAAATTTCACAGAAAGCAAATACAAAATCACACATTTAAATATAAGAAATATCTTTCATATTAGATTTATATTTATATATATTTTTTTTCAATAAGTTTTCTTTATATTCTTCATATATGCAAAAATTTATTTTTTTTTATAACAAAAAAAATTGCACATTTTTTAATATTTTTAACGCAAAGCAAAGCTATAACGCGCGGTACACCCTAACTGACCTCGACGAACGATAAAAGCTAACTAAACTGTATAATTATTTCAGTTCTCTCACGGTATTTCAACTTTTTGACATTTCATTTTTGTCTCTCCTACGACTTCAGTTCAGTTCAATTTACTTTCAATTTTAATTCTGGACCAAGCAGCAAGCATTGGTACTGAAATGGAATTGAAAGAAAATGAATTGAAAATAAAGCGTGCAAAACCTGATATGAAAACAACGAATGGACTCTTATCAAAGACAAGAACCTTTTATTTAAGTAATTTCGATATAAAATATACACGCAGTTTGAAGAGCAATGGAATAAAGTAGCTATTTTAGTTTAGTACCCGGAAACTAAATTAGAATAAGTAGAATATTTTAAATAAAATTTACGAAAACAAAATAAAAGAATTTTAAATAAATAATAATGAGAATTAAAAAAAAAAAAGAATTTTATATAATACATGAGAACTTTAAATAAAAATTATGAATTTTATTAAAATTTACTAATTTTGATCGAATTCACGAATTTTGACAAATTTTAATCTAATTTATAAACTCTAAACACAATTTAAAAATTTATAAATTTTAAATTAATATCACAAAAGCTTAACTGGTTTTAAATATTTCAAAATAGTATAGCGGTTTTGCAATTGCTACTCGGCTTAAATTGAATTAATCTTCTTAGGATGATCATCGTAACCTAACTAAATCTATTTACACAAACTGGAAACAGAAAATTTTTTAAATTTTATTTTAAAATGTCAATATTTTTCCAATTCCATGAATAACTCCTCACACAAGCCTCATATCCATTGGTCTCTTTAGTTAAAAGTTAATGATAGAATAGGCGATCTTCATATTAAAAATTATCCTGTTATTAAAGTCTATATCATTCCAAAATTTTTGGGGAAACCAATTTGATTTGCCTTTTTATAAGCGGTGAAACTCAAAAGGAGACGAATACTTTCGGGTTGTAGACTTGGCCGCTTCTTGTTGGGTGGCCAAGTTCGTTTAACAGATAGATATAATAACATAAAAATTGACTACCTTTTCTAGACATAGTAGATGCATCAATAAAACATCAGCAATCGTTTAGTGTTATATGATCTCAATGTCATGACATATTATCTTTAAAAGCAATGCGTTAGGAATAATTCTTCAACTCCACCTCTATTTGTCTATCGATTCTATCCTAACTTTAATAACTTTTCGCTACTCACAACCATTCATTTCCTCTAACATCGAAATCTGTATGTGATTAATCTTCAAGGAATCCTGCGATACAAGTACGATCTTATGATTGCGTAAAACAATTACTAATAAGAAGAACCCGGTGTTCTTCTTTTCAAATTTTTTAAAACTTTCTAGTAAAGCGATTACTGCTTCAATTGCAAATTGATAGTTTTCAACTCCAATAAGTTTTTAAACTCTATCATGAAGAACTTGAACCATTACTTTAAAGTTTTTTTAAACTGAAGTATCCTCAGTCCTTCAGAATTACTATTCAAGACTAACAAGTAAATAAGAAGTACATACTATTAACATCGAGAGGCTTTTTAACAGAAGTGATTTCACAAGGACATATACTTATTATAAATAGTCAATGATGTATTGGCAAATTTAAATATCTAAAGAAATATACCCTATTAACCACAGAAATAATCCATTCCATTATTATTTATTAAATCTCGTTAGATGATTCGGATAAGAGATAATCACATTTTCAAGTGTATTTATTTGTTTAATAAGATTCACTTAGTGTCACCCATATGCATCATATAGTCTCTCACTTAAACCTTCAAAGCAGTAGAACTCTTGTTCCAATGAGTCGCATGCGAAATCTTTCATTCGACTGGCAGTTTTGCTGATTGGGTCACCTTTTTATAGATGAATTTCTGGTGCATGCCTGAGTTTAGCTTGCGTGATATTTTATTGTTTACTGTTTTTTTATTAATGTTGACAAATAGAAAAAAGTTATCACAATAAAAAATATGCTCATAAAATATTGATTTTATTTATATTTAGACACGTTAGTGTAATTTAAAATGTTATCTACACAATTTTATATTATAGCGTAATGAAATAGGTTAGTATAATACTAGTTTGTTGATGTTAATGAGTATATTCAGCGTCCCTCCTGAATGAGAGAGTCAATATGGTTCCTCCTGAAACTTTTCTCTTAGTTACGCTTTCGGTTACAAAACTCAGTTTCAAACGTAAATCGCTTTAGTTATATAATATAGTCCTTTATTTGATGTCTTTTATCCCATAACCCTGTTTTCATCTTGCTTAATTTAGGACTTTTATAGACTTGTTAATTTGGGATCCTTTGGTTAACAAATGAACAACGCTAATCCGTGGCTTTACTACCGGCCAATATTTAAACTCGATTGAACTTTACTGCACAAAGTCGCCATTCAACTTAACCTAACTTTACTTTTAAAAGGTCTTTTAGAGCGTACTCGATATATAAACATTGAAACAAAAATGTAATCTTGCATGTTGGTAGTTCTAAATAATTCCTTACTTAAAAATGAGAACTCTATACATTGGTGCCTTACACATATAAACTGAAAAAAAAACGATTTTGTATGGTGGCGATCTTGAATATTATCCCTACTTAAAAATGAGTACTCTTTACCTTGCTGTTTTATACAGAGATTATATGGTATAAATATCATGTCGGCCGATTCAACGGTTTGGGAAAAACATTCTAAATATTAACTCATAGCAAGAATGTTATAGCTTTATGTTCGGCCCTAACCAGTAAGTTTTAATTAAATCAGTCAATTTTTTTTCAAATTTTCAGTAAACTTATTTTTATGGTGATCCCATCAAAAACTACATAAAATTTTTGCGAAATCTGACAGACTTACCAACATCGCGTTATCAAATCTCAGAATGGTTACAGGCTCCTCGGAGAGGTATGCAGATCTGAGGTCAATTATTGCTTAGTCTGATGTAGTGATAAACAATAATCTAGTCAAGGCGCAAAGAGGGGTTTTGAAGAAACCTCACAGTTAATAGAGAGCAAAAGTGCACAGATGCACTGACTCAACTAGCCTCAACATAATAAAAAGTAAAGTATAGGATTGTGTGGGTAAAAAATTCAGCAAAGATAGCTATACAGATACGTCAGATATTCCGTACATTTTTTTTCAGATTTTCAAGAAAAATAATTTTTACCTACTACATTACATGATTAATTGTTGTGTCAGTTGGAGTTCTATATATCAGAAAACATAATTGATGGAATAAGAAGGGATGGAATAAGAAGAAAGATTTACTTTTTCAGTAACTCCTATTCAGATTTTCTATAATTCATTTCTATTTATTAGATAAATAATTGTTTTGATTATTGTTATTGTATTTATTGAAGATCTATATAGCAGAAAATATAGAAAGAAATATAATCCGAATATATGGGATAGGATATGATTAAATGATCGTAAAGTGAGAGAAGGTGTGTGTTGTTTTCTATAACGTATAACTGGTAGCTACGGCGAGTTTTAATCTAACTAGCTTGGGTCGAAGTGGAGAATCTAACTACTACAATAGATCAGAACCCGAGAACAATGGGGTTCTTATAAGTGTGAGCAAGAGAATTGATAGGTGTTGATGTCATGCGGAATTAAGCTACAGTTGGAACACACATTGGGTATTGACGTACATATGCGTGCTTTTATCTTCCTATAATAATTTTGGCAATAATTTAAATATATATAAAATAAATAAAAATATATTTAAAAAATTTGTATTATTTTTTAAATAAATTTTATTATTGTATATAAATGTTTTAATTAAAAGTTATGTATAATTGTAATATGTTTTTGTATATTCTAAAATAAATTGTTAAATGTAATAAACATAAAAATTCGTTCTTTGCTGTTGCTTTATTTATTGATTATATAGATATAAATAAAACATTTTTACTGATAAGCATTTATGTGTAATTGAAAATAGGAAATGAATATTGAGAAATAAATATTGAGAGAAAAATAAATATTGAGAGAGAAATAAATATTGAAAAATAAATATTGAGAGAGAAATAAATATTGATAAATAAATATTGTAAAAAATTATGTTTTGAGACTGAAATAATTTAAATTTAAATATGAACGAAAAAAAAAAATTTTTTTTGATTTGAAATGCTGCTGAATAATAGTAATAATTATAAGAATAATATAATTTAAATATTTAATGTAATAGTAGTTAATAAAATTATTAGAATTTAATTAATACATACGCAAAAAGAAATAATAATAATACATGTTGTTTTTATTGATTATATATGTGTGTTGTAGATTTATACTAAAAAACTAATTTTTTTTTACTTTTTTTTAATTTTTAAAAATTTTTTTGTATTTTTGATTTTTAAAATATTTTTTTGTTTGTTTTTTTTTTTGTGATTTTAACATTTTTTTTACATTTTTTAATTTTTTTTGTTGCAGATAAAATACGACAAATTAGCTTGCTCTTAACATAACTACGAAATTCTTCATAATTCTCATATATATGTTAAGTTGACAAATGTTTTTAAGCGACTACTATACTAAATTGTTTGAATAATAGTGTTTATTTTATATATTTAAAGTTTATATTGTTGAAAGTGATTATTTCGCTTGTTAAGCATAAAATAAAATATATAGATTATTTAAGTTGAACAAATTCAAATGTTTATGTTTGTATCTTGTGTGCTCGATGAAGCAGTGCTAAGGACAAAAAATGATAATGCCTTGAAATATTTGAATGGTGGTGTTGGTGTTGAAAGATGTTGGAAAATTCAATAAAAACAATTTGAATTATTGTTTGCTGTTGGTTGTATATTGTAATTTAGTTGGGTTTTGTTGCTGTAAAATTTGTTGTTTTCTTTTTTTTTCAACAGCATTTGTCAACTTAATCTTCAATATTATAAATGAGAAAGAAGTTCTCGGAATTATTTTCTGTTGCTGGTGGTGCCATTGGTGATTTTCTGGACAATGGTTGGAAACCCATTATGAAAAAGGTTTCAATAAGACGAGCACGATCAGTTTGATTTTTCTTTATGATCAAAACAACTGCATCAACATCCAATTTATCCTCAGCAAATTCTAGCAAGGATACGAATGTCTGCTTAGAGGCTTCCGGTGGTAATTCCTCTGGCATTGACACATACAAAATGTTGTTTAATGGATTGAGTACCTTAAAATGAAAATTATAAATAATTATATAAAAAAAAATTATTTATTTTTGTGTTACTTACAGATTCCCATTTGGTGAATTTGTTCTCAGTAACGTGCAATTTGATGATTATACGTATTGGATGATTATGTTGCAAGATTTGCTTAACAACCTCTTGACAATCATCATCCGAATACAATGAATGTACGTCTCCATCGCCATCGCCATCGCCGTCTTGTGAATCCAAATCGGAGCACTCCGATGAAGAAGTGCTTTCACATAAGCTGCCACCACCTGAATCCACAGAAATTTTTCGAGTGTAGTCTATGATATAAAAATATTAATTTATTAAAAAATTAATATAAAATAAAATTTTAAATTAGTTTTTTAGTTTTTTTGTTTTAAGTGTAAAATTGTAAAATTGTAAAGTGAAATTATTTACATACCAGTTAAGAGTGACGCCCTATCGTGATCTGTTCTGTGGTGGGTAGGGACATCAGGACCACCACAGAGGCCCTACGCCGAGAGAGATACAGTATGACTCAGTCGACATGTTGGTAGCGCAAGATGAAGTAGAAATGGTACGGAACTTGCCATCGGCAGAGCTTCCAATACCGCTATCCGAAAATTCTCTTCTAATACTACTACTTAATATTGGATCGCTGCAAAAGAGAATAAACATATTAATAAATAATTAGTTTATCTTAAATATTGTGTATATAGTGATTTTGCAGTTAAAAGTTTTAGTGGCGCTAAAATTTAGGAACTTTATTTTATACAATTAGTTAGTTTTTATTGTACAATATCTATGTCCAGACTTGTACCCCAAAGGGCTTGAAAGGTTAAAATCACCCTAGAAATATACATCATTAATGCAATATGACTGCTTATAATATGATAAAAATTTATATTATATTATATTATTTTATAAAGATAAACAAAATTTTTTTAAGTTACCAAAATTATTTGAAAGCCCGCTCGAGGAAGTAAATCTCTGTGTATAAGAGCCTGTCTATCTTTACATAAACATATAAATAAGTAATATATACATTAAAAATAGGTATATATAAATAAAATTATATATATATATGTATATATATATATTCATATATATAATATATGAATATTGCTCATTATATTATATTGAGTATGGGTGTGAGGTCATCCGCTGTATTTGAATCCGATAGGTGGTGTTGAAATTTCTTAAAATCTCGAAAATAATAATATGTACGAGTAATAAGTATATTTATAAGGTTAAATAAAATAGATCTGAACTTAATGAGTTCAGTTGATGTTATATAAATCTTTCGTGAGTGGAATATCTATAAAGCTAGTTTTACATTTACGTTTCATAATTATTCAAAAATCCGTAATATTCTAAAATGAACGCCAATGCTCTATTATGAAGTCTTATTTCGTGTTTATTAGAACTTCAACAAGATTACTTCAATAATTGCCATTTTAATATTCTGAATACATTCATTTGACAGCGGATTATAGTAGTCAGTTGTTTTGAGCAACTTTTTCCGTGGTACCACCCTTCACAAGATATCGAGGTTTAAAGTTGTAGACATTATAGATCAAACAGAAATGATTGATAGAGAAATATTCTTTGAGAATGTAAAGTATTTTTCATCAGAAGACATTATACATCATACAGAAATTAATGATAGAGGAATATTTTTTGAGAATATTCTATTTAATCGGTAGACATTATAGAGCAAACAAATATTATTGATAGAGAAATATTTTTTTTAGAATGTTACTCTACATTCTCTACATTTAACCCATAGACATAATAGAGCAAACAGAATTAATTGGTAGAAGAACATTTTTCGAGAATGTAGAGTATTGTTAATCTGTAGACTATGTTAATTTCAAGTGACAAATATAAAGGAATCAACTATTTTCTATCACATAAATCAGACAGCGTAAAATATGAAAATAATATTGTCTTTATTATAAAATAAATTTTAATACCATTCAAGTCAAGAATTTGGTATAAATTATGTCTCAAACATAAATAAATTATTGTTTTAAGTAGAAGAAAAATTATTTTAAAAAGTAAAAACCAAAAAGATGAACCATAAAAATATATTTAATATCTTTAAATAGACAAAAGCGATTTATATGATATAAAAATTTAGGTTTATATTTGTTTACTTCGAATCTTCTTATCTTTATGATTTATTTTACTGTGTTGATATTTATTTAAGTGCATTTTCTTATATATTTTTTTATTATTTTTATATCTTGAAAGCATCACATTAATTGCGGTAATGTATTAAAATGTCATCATATGATGATTTTAGTTCGAGATAAGATACGGTTATCTAAGAAATATGAAAACTGTTGAGATATAGAGATATTTAATACCTTAGTCACATGAAATAAAGAAATAAAAAGATACATTTTTATCACAAACATATAATATTTAATCACGTAGTTTTGTGTGATGAAAATAAACACAATTCATTTAAACTAATTAAATTTACTTTGTGTTTTAAGTATTTTATGATAAGAAAGATAAATGAAATATTTGACTCTTATATGCCCTAAATGATACAAAATGATATTTTTAAGAGATTAGTTATAGATTTCTTTCGTCAAAATATATGCAAAAACATAAGTTGCATTTAATTACTTATTTTTTCATTTTTCTAACTTATAATATATTAAAATATTTTTTAAATAATTAAAATAAATTATACTATATTTGAGTAATACGGAATGTGCCTAAAATTGCAGAATTATTTAGTTTTTTATTTATGTATATATTATTATTGTTTATTTTTTTATTTTACTTATTTTTATTTGTTTGTGTACAAATTAAAAACTATATCGACACATATGAATCTGTATAAGCTTATACATTTATTATATACATAAGATAAATATTTTGACATTAATCCATAAAAAAGTAATCAGTACTACGAAATATAATTCATAATTCTATTATTAAATAAATAAAGTAGTAATTAAATAAACAAAAAAAATTAAAAAAAAACTAAATATAACAAAATTAAAAATAAATTAAACAAATATTTTATTTATAAATAAGCAACAAATGGGAATATAAATAAACACAGAAAATAATAAATATATTAAATAAATATATACATTTAAATAATATATATATTAAATAAATATAGTAAATAAATAAATATACTAAATAAATATATATAGTAAATAAATAAATATATTAAATAAATATATATACTAAATAAATAAATATACTATTTAAATAAATATATATATGAAATGAATATATATATATATATATGTAATAAATAAATACACTAAATAAATAAATATACTAAATAAGTAAATATAGTAAATAAATAAATCAATATTTTAACATTTAATAATAATGAATTTGTAAATAAATAAATAGGGTTTAATTAAAAATATTCATTAATAATTTCATAATATTATGAAATATTATATAATATATAATTTCATATAAATAATATAAATATAATTTCATAAATAGTAAAAATAATATATTAATATAATTGTTTGTAATTGCATTAAGAAATAATATTATTATAATTTATAAACATATATTTTGAATAATTAAATATATATTAAAAAATTAAATAACATTTATTCCGAACTGGCAGTGCTGTTTCGTTCAATTTTATTCTGTCAGTCATATTCAAAATGTACAACAACTTAACGAACATGGCGTTCGGCTGTCAAAAGTGCACGAATGCTTAATTCTAGTCTTTGGCGAAGTTTGTGAAAATCGGAACACATTTTACAGTCGTTATTGTGCATTTATTATATTTTATTATCTTAAATTCAAGTAAAAATATTAAATTTATAACAAAATGTCGATTGGAGTGCCAATAAAAGTTCTACACGAAGCCGAAGGCCACATTGTCACTTGTGAAACAATTACCGGCGAAGTTTATAGAGGAAAACTAATCGAAGCAGAGGACAATATGAATTGTCAAATGACAAATATCACAGTTACATACCGTGATGGACGTACTGCAAATTTAGAAAACGTTTATATTCGTGGTTCAAAAATAAGATTCCTTATATTGCCGGACATGTTGAAAAATGCTCCTATGTTTAAAAAACAAACGGGGAAGGGGCTTGGTGGGACGGCCGGCCGTGGCAAAGCAGCGATTTTGCGCGCACAAGGCAAGTAACACATAATTAGTGTAAAATAAAGTAAAAATTAATCAAATTTTTCTTTTTTTTTTTTCTTAGCAAGAGGAAGAGGAGGCCGCGGTGGTCCTGCGGTGGGTGGCAGAGGCGCACCACCTGGAGCACCGGGTGCTGGACGTGGTGCTTGGCAGGGTGGACCTACTGGTGGTCGTGGACGCGGCGGCTTGTAAATTTATTTTCGATATATAAAATCCATTTAATTTTCTTCGATTTAAGTGAATTTTTAAGCGCAGTCGTAGAATAAACAAGTTAACTTTATATTTATTAAATATATTATTTTAATTATAAGATTCTACAACAATACAAACTAAACATTTTAGTTACATGAACTATTGAGAAACATTTTCTGGAAATTATAAGTTTGAAGTGTATTTTTGGTGTTTTTAATGCTGATTTATAAATAAGAGTGGAGAAGCAGTGTCGAGTTCTTTAAAAAAACAGACTATTAAGTCTAAATAATTCTAAATTGTCCTTCAATTTTTAATAAAACTTAATAATTTTGAACTGCTTATAATTTTTAATCTTTTTATTACGATTTTTGTGCAATTTTATAATGAAACCTTGAGGTTCAAATGATAGAAAATATAAATACTGAATATATCTGGAAGTGAAATAGATATTGAATTAAAATCCAATAATGTTATTGTGTAAATCAAGTTAGAAAGAGTGTGGTGAGACGCCTATATTAGAAAGCAACTACTACATATAGAAGTTTGATAACACGCTGTATATTTGGAAATGTGAAATGGTGTAAGAAAATAGGTAGAGATCTCGCATCCTGAGAGTAATATTTGATTACTAAAGATTCAGGTTCCAAGAACGGCTGAGTGTATGTTCGGAGTCACTCGTACAGTTCAACCGACAACTGTTATTAGAATTGCATAGATTTTTTTCAAGAAACAAAAATCCCAAACATATAGTTAAGAAAATCCTGCTTTATTTGTAATTAAATATAATTCAACAGGAGTTACATTAGTAATTCCAAGAAGTTATAAGATCAATGAAGAGAAAACGAAGACGAAAATTTGAAATATTATGATTATATGAAACATAAACAGTTATAATTATTTTTGACACATAAGTCCAATATACTCAAACGGTTTAGCTACCAGGCGTGTATTATTCAGAATGCACGGATGGGTTAAACACTTCTCAATCTGAATTACTAGTTAATTTCCTAAGTTATTTTATTTCATTTTTGATTCCCATATACATATGTTTCAATCTCGATAAAGTATTTAATGACATGTTACAATTTTATTTGATAGTTTAAGATAATTGAAACACTGATTTCACAAATCATCAGATTTAACTGTTTGATTAGACTTAGTGCCATAAATAGTTTATGGAAACATAATAAAAATATCTATACAAAAGCTACCAAAACAATCTGCAATTCTTGGAATGGATATCTACTACTACTGATTTTAATTACTCTTAAACTTAGCTGCTTGGATATACTTAGTGGCATAAATAGTTTATG